ACTTGGTCAAAAGATTATAGCTTTGCTTGTCTTCTGGTTTCTTGTTATTTTTTACTTCTTTTTGTTTATTTCGCATTAGTTTTTTCTTATATTTTTCACACAATCTCTTCAACTTTTTATTTTCCTCTTCCAATTTTTTGTTTGCTCTATATACTTTAGATTTATGTTTCTTCACTTTTTTTCGTTCTCGCTCTCTAGACGCATTTGAAACCGGTGATGCCGGTGGTGGTTGGTGGACTGCTTGAATATCTTGTACTTTGGTAATGGAGAACTTCGCGGTGTCACATCTATAATACTTTGTAGATTCTTTCTTCTTTTCCTATATTCCCTTTGCCTTAGTTTCCAAATCAAATTAGCTTGTTTTCTTTCCTTCGGTGACAAATCTTTTGCTAATCTTTTTTACTTTGTGGTAGTGCTCTCTATGTTTTCTTTTGTTTTCTTCATATTTTTCAGGGTTATTTTTAAGCCTATCTCGATATCGCTTTTGTTTTTCTGCTGCTGTTAAACGTGCCATTGCATATCTAAGGAAGGAAGAAATACAGTTTTTATGTTTCAGTTCATAAGAAATTATTCAATGCATTATAAAAAATAAGACATGTAAATTGGAAAGAACTAGCTCCCGCTTTCGACTTTTTACCGAAATAAAAGTATCTTATAGCCTTATCTAGGTCACGGTATACTGTGTGTCGAATTTAATGCAAACCCATCAGTAGTTTTTGTGTTAATAGGTTGTTACCAACAAACACTCACTTTCGCACTTATACTTAACATTTAAGTGAGGATAATTACCATTGAAAATAATGTGCTAATGAAATAAGAGAAGTACATATTGAAAATGAAATAGTAATACAAGAATCATATTATATAAAAATAGGTATTGATTTAAGTTTAACGCCACAACGCGAATGTCTCTGAAGTTACTGACGATGTCTATGGAGTTACCTTCAAAGTAACTCAGTATACAGTTAACTGAGGAGACAATTCAAGTACTTTGATCAAAAATACATTTTATTATAAGTATTAAAAAAATAAGTGACATATGATTTAGTCGATAACCACAGCTAGTACTATATAATATTATCATTACAAGGTTACTACTTACATTTTACGAGAAAATGTGGTAACTCAGTTGACGGCACAAAAAGGTACGCGCACTCTCTGTAAGCGTTCGAGGCAGACTGATTGACTTGTCGGCACTCATCAAAGTTTCGCCCGCCGTTGTTACCGCATACGATTTAAATGAAGTTAGCAACAGCAAGACATACCATCTAGGAGTTCTATTAACGCAAATTTTGGAGGTAACTCAGCATACACGTGCAAAAGGTATTTATTGAGGGACAGTCCTAAATTATTTTTTTCCTCAAATATTTTATGTTTATTTAATATCAGTGGTTAATCTTGATAAAGTTTATTGTTTTGTCTCTTTGTAAAATTAATTTCAAGGTAGGGTTTTATAGAAAAAAAATATTTCAACGGGAATTAACATGAGAGACTATGGTCTGAGGACAAGGATTTTTTGTATGGGAGCTCTTTTTGGTATACTGAGTTACCCTAAAAATCAAAACAAATTGTTAATTTTTTGTAACTTTAGAATTTTCCTAATGATGCCTGATTATTTGTTATGTGTTTAGAAGACCATTAACCTATAAAAAACTTTTAATTAAATCATGAAGCAAAAAAACCCGCTAGGGACAACACCTAAGTGTGGGTAAAAAAGTTGATCCACCCATTACACGTTAAGTAATATCATCATTCGCTCTCGGTTTTCATCGCGATACCTACGAGACCCTTTGACTCGAGCGCAAAAAACCGACACGCTTCCGAGAGCGCACGAGGGACACGAGACGCGACGCGACGCGACGAGAGCACCCTGTACACACTCGTACTCGCCCTGTCTAGACATGAGTCGTAACGTCTTGGACGTAATCGGTTGTACGTAGTTTCGTGGATATGAGTAACTAGTTTCAAAACTGCTTATTTTTGTAATTAGTTACATATGTATACAGTATAGCGTAGGTTAGTTTTGCGTTTGTGTTATGTTATAATTACGAAAATATTAACATATTATAGGTAGGTATTATAATATTAGTTTAACTGTGTTATGTTATGATTACGAATACGTAACAGGTTATAGGTATTATAACATGTGCGCGACATTGTCAATATTAGTACCTTTGTACAATTTTATACAGTCACAAAATATGTAAGTATTTAAGTATTATTGTCCATCACATCACATAATTATTATGATCCCCATAATACACAAAAATTAACTTAATACAAAAAATATTTATTATTTATTTACACCAATTATATGTCTGTTTATGTACACTAAATATTTATATACACTTTAAATGTTTATTCACAAAGAAAACTATACATGTTATAATATTTATAAAGAAAAACGCGAAGTTTTTAAGAACAATGTTAAATAACGCTCGCCTCTAGGCCTGTCTCGTGGTGTCTCGACGAGCGTGTACAGCCGGCATTAAAATTATCTATTAATTTATTTAGAATAGGTATTTTTTAGATTTTAGATAATCGTGCTTACGTATAGGAATCTCATATCCTAATATATCTAATGTAATTTATGTAAGTACATAATAATCTAAGGGCAGGAAATGATAAATAAAATGTGTTTTGTAAGTTGTTTTTTTTTTTAAAAAACACTTTAACACAACAAAAACATGAAACTGAGAAGAAGCACCCGACCTGCCGAAACAAACTCAGAGAGGTCTGTCCAGGTATTACATTGGTCATGTCATACGAGAACCAGGCTAATATGGTCCTTTGAAGAAAGAATCATACAGATGTGAGTGGACAACTAAGTACTTTTTAGGATTCCGTACCCGAAGGGTAACCAGCAGGGCCCTATTACGGAGCCTCCGCTGTCCGTGTCCTGTCTGTCAGCGGGCTGCATCTCATGATCCGTAATAGGTAGATGGTTGTAATTTTCACAGAACGTGTATTTCTGTTGACGCTATAACAGCAAGTGGTAAAAATAAATTTGAAATTAAAGGATTTTCTACTAGAAAAAGAAACGTGTATTTTTGGCTTTTTTTGATCGATAGTAATATGTTTACGGAAGCTCGGAAGTCCGATTCGCACTTGGCAAAATATTTATTTTTATTTAACCCTACCTCAGACATACTCATATTTTTATATATAATTTACTATACTACTATATAAGCTACTACTAAATCAAATAGTAGTAGCTTTGCTATGGTATTATAGTATATTTTGGATAAGATTTAATTTATTACAGAATAATACGAACTATATAAAAACTAAGGAGCGCATCAACCTACCTTAGATATTGGGTTATGAATACAGATAAGTACACATAGGATTTAGTTTCTAAGTTGTACCTACATATTTTATAGCCTTCGTTATGAATAGCATAAACAGGCCAAGCCCCCTAGCCTACAAACGTTTCGTAACGAATCTCTTTCTACAATCGCGCCCTTTATTTGTTTGGACTGACCACCTGACTCGTTCAGTGATGCCATTCCCATAGTGTTTAGTTTTCAACTAGCGTTATCTATCATAAAATAAATCAAAATTTTATTCACATTTCGCTAATTGTGTCTGTACTGTGAATTTGATTTATAATCTTTCAAGTTTTCTTCTAATTACTTACCTTGCCTAGACGTGTTCTTTAGACTTCTGTAAGGAAGTCTGTGCTGTTAGTATTCCGTTTATATACGTTACTATTTTGATAGACGTTTGTGCTTGTCCCTGCAGTGACACAATGCCTATTGTTGATAACTTTCTAAGTACTAAGAGTATTTCAAACCCCTATTGAACACAATCAATAAACAATTTACAAACTAAAATTTTTTATTTATTTAATTAACATATAAAAGCCCCACTCACATCAAAATCGCGCTGTCGAAAAAGCAGTTATCCTGACACTGGCTGACATATACTTCGGGGAGTTGCCTGTGGGCTATTATAGCTAACTAGCTACTTATGGAAAGTAAATACCTATTTAGAATACATAGTACCTACAGTAATATTTGCATAACCTACAGTAAAATACAAAAACATAAAGAAAACATAATTATGTTACACTTTTTTGTGTTTGTTTTAGAAATTTTTATACTTTTTTCAAAAAAGTTTTTTATGTTACCGTTTTTAGTTGAGAGTTATGTCCCTTTAGTGGGTACAGGCGTGATATTATATTGTGTGATTGTGTAAAGAATGCTTAGATAGGCGATAGCAGCAATCGCGGTTGATTTGCTGTCATTTATTGAAGAGTGCCCCCGATTTCTCCAAGAGAATATCGTGGAGGTAGTTTACAAACATAAATTGCACAAGGACAAACATTCAGACCCGGAACAACTATTTGTAGGCCATACAAATATTTGTTCCGTGCGGGATTCGAACCCGCGGTGCCCAGTGCAGCCTCATTGCTAAGCCACTGCGATACGGAGCTCAAATTGAGTTTATGTTATTATTCAAAAATGAATCGCATTAGGTAGGTACGCGATGACGCCGTCTCGCATTCCGTCACTCGAGTGCGTATGTGTGTGCGCACTAGCTTCTTACTGCTCATCACAGCGTCTATCCCTTTCGCACGTGATGTCGGCTGAGATAGCATGCATTTTTACCCCGCCCACCACTTAGTGCGTGCCTTTGACTGGGGCAACCTTAAGTTGAACGAAGAATACTTCCAAAAACAATAAAATACAATTTAGCTATACCGTGCATGCGTTCATTTCAGTGTGCCCCTCGTACAGACACCCAGTAAGAAGAGTAATCCCTCTACCTAGTGCAGCCATAAACCAACTGTCACATGTTAGTAGAATGACATGCAAAATTGTTCCCAAGGCATGTGATAATGAGGGTAGTGTAACCGATCCTTTTAGATGTATTATTATATTAAACATTTTGCCCTCAGTGTGTTCTTTATATAACAATAAATTAAGTGTTAGTAAAGTTATCGAGTTTTCTAATTCCGCAGTAAAACGATTAAATAAAATTCTTGAACATTTTAGACGTCTTTGAATCACTGGCGTAAGGTGCGCCTTGATCGTATGCTCGTGGATTATTTCCTGAGGAATGGGTATTACGACTCAGCCAACAAGCTTGCCGATGCCAAGGATCTGAGGGAATTGACCAATGTTGGTAAGCTGACCTTGTGTTAAATATTTATTAAAATTTAGGTTTTAGTATATAGTATGTTCTGCAAGATTCATAAATATTACGAAAACGTCTTGCAATAGCAACTATCGCCTACGTATCACGTTATGTATTACACAGTTTTGTGGTACATGGATTGCAGCTGTTGTCAAGCGCGAGCCGCGTAGGCGAGCCGAGTCGGCGGCGGCCAAATAATTAGCGGGCCGCAATTTTTATTGAGTTTAAGGACCCTGCTTTTTTTAACTCTCGCTGAACAGACCAGGTATAGTTTTTTTGTCCTTTCCTTTTTCATAAAAGAACAGTCTAGCTGATGGTATGTGGATGCTGTGACCCATCAACTTGTGTCCTCAATTAATAACCAAAATGGAGATGCATTTTCACTCCTGAGGACTAAGATGTAATGTCTCGATACTTGTAAAAAGGGTCTCCGATTCTCGTCATCATATGAAACACAGCACAATTATACTAATATATTTTGCATTATTTACTAACTCATAGGCGCGGAACCGATACCTTCATTGGTCGCAGAGCCCCATTAGTTACCAAAATACCCGCGTGCAAATGTTGGCATACAGGTTGCGTCACTTGACATGTACACGCATTTACGACGTAGCCTGAGGAATTAGTAACACTGGTCCTGTATTTCGAAGATCCGGCAATCGATGGCGAATAAAGGTCCTCAAAGATGGCAGCCTGCAGAATGCAAACGCGATTTCAGCGTGAGACAATGGTCCGAGGAGCCTAAAGAGGCGTCGACGGAAATCTGATATCCTTCCGGATGAGAGATCACCAGAAGGTCCAACAGGGAAGGTGCATGATCCTCCACATCTGGAATCCACGTAGGCGAAGTAACCAGTTGTGTCAGACCATATGCCAAGGCAAAATCATGAACAGATATCCCCGCATGATCGATTGAACGTGAACCAAGCCATTCGGTGTGGTGGGCGTTAAAATCGCCAAGGATCACGATCTCTGCGGAGGGGATCTGTTGTAGCAACGAATCTGTAGCCATTTGGACGTGGTCGAAGAGTCGGTCTGTTTCGGCATTACCGCTATGGGACCTATAGAGGCACCCGTAGACGCGCGGATGGTCGTCGCTGTCTACGCGTAGCCAAAGGATGGACAGGTCCGAACCTTCAAGACTGCCGAGGCGTCCAGAACAGATGTGATATCTGACGTATACTCCAGGGCACAAAGGAGTGTTCCGGTTTGTAAGCTGCCGAGTGGCTCACTTGAAAAAACTCGCGGTATTTGTGCTACTACGATAATATAGCTATATATAACTAATATAATTATTATTTATAATCGCCGCTGACGGTACCCATGGTAAATGGTCTGAGGTACGTAAGGTATAAAGTATACACGTATATTACGTATAGCCCCCGTCGACGATACCCACGGTACGAAATAGGCGATAGATTATTTTGGGCCGTTAGCAAACGGCGCTGAGAGTACATAAAGTGTATATTGTGGTGCGTGGCCCCCAGACATCTATCAGGCGGCGGCAGAGGTGGAGCGTGAGCTGATAGCGCGGCGCACGGCGCGCTGCCTGCAGTGGTGCGCCGACAACAAGTCCAAGCTACGCAAGCTCGGCTCCACCATGGAGTTCAACATACGCATTCAGGTGCGTAACTTAACGTAACGCAACGCAACGTGTCCCGCACACATCTACCCGCAGCGGTACGCCGACAACAAGTCCAAGCTACGCAAGCTCGGCTCCACCATGGAGTTCAACATACGCATTCAGGTGCGTAACTTAACGTAACGTAACGCAACGTGCAACGTGTCCCGCACACATCTATCCGCTGCGGTACGCCGACAACAAATCCAAGCTACGCAAGCTCGGCTCCACCATGGTGTTCAACATACGCATTCAGGTGCGTAACTTGGCCTAAAGTAACGCAACGTGTCCCGCACACATCTACCCGCAGCGGTACGCCGACAACAAGTCCAAGCTACGCAAGCTTGGCTCCACCATGGAGTTCAACATACGCATTCAGGTGCGTAACTTAACGTAACGTAGCATAACGCATCGTGTCCTGCACACATCTACCCGCAGCGGTACGCCGACAACAAGTCCAAGCTACGCAAGCTCGGCTCCACCATGGAGTTCAACATACGCATTCAGGTGCGTAACTTAACGTAACGTAACGCAACGTGCAACGTGTCCCGCACACATCTACCCGCAGCGGTACGCCGACAACAAGTCCAAGCTACGCAAGCTCGGCTCCACCATGGAGTTCAACATACGCATACAGGTGCGTTACGTAACGTGCTAACTTAAGGCTAAGCGATTTCTCATAATTTATAACTTGATTCTATATTTGACGTTAAAAAAGGTTCATCATTTTCGTCATCATTATTACAGCCTATTAAATGTTCACTATTGAATACATATGCCTCTCTCATAGACTCGTAGATATTTTTGCCATAGAATAAATACATAAACACACACGCCTGTCACCTAGAGGGGTAGGCTGAGACTAGAGACTTACATTTGTTACCATCCTGACACATCTCTTGCGCTTCCTCCACATTCATATACTTACGCATACATGCTCTTCAGTTAAGAGTACTTTTAATTTGGCCCATTTTCAATATATCGCAAATTTGGTCGATAAATTTTCGCCTAGTACGTCCCTTTTCCACTCTGCAGTTCCCTTCTGCAACATAAATTTGCTTTGTCACTCTTTCCTCATTCATTCTTTCTACATGATCAAACCACCATAAATTTGCCATAGTTGTTTTTTAAATTGGGTTGGGAAAAAAACTGGTTATTTTCGGAGTTGTTATCAGGAAAATGCACCGCCCATCCCCTTTTAGTTTTACTCTGTCGATTCTTATGGTATCCACGTGATCGTATAGAGTACAGATTTTAATACACCGCTATACTTAAAAAAAGTGTAAAAGACGAGATTTTCAAACCAGTTTACCATCATTTACGATGGCATCTATTTTCCAGGAGTTCATAGAGCTGGTCCGTGAAGACAAACGCTTGGAGGCAGTGCGTTACGCGAAGAAACACTTCTCTACTTACGAGAAGGAACAGCTTGAAGACATACAGCACTGCATGGGGATGCTGGCTTTTCCTAAAGACACAGGTTAATAACAATTGCTGGGACCTTTCACTCTTTTTTTTTTGCCGAAATCGTCTATGGCCTATGTCTATGGCCGTCTATTTGTACTTTTATCTCAAGTTAGTGGAAGTTATTCCATATAGATTAAAACACTTTTAATTTTTTTAATTTAATATATTGATATTCTTGTTTTTGTTTCTTTACGCGAGACTATTTTTCTAATAAGTGAAATCTATCGGAATTAATTTTTTTTAAATAAGTATCAAGGTTTACAATATGTGTAATATGTTTTACGTGGTAGAGCCATGCTGCAGTTACATTAGTAGTATAGTTGTAGCACAAATAGGTCGGCTCGACCGGGGAAGGACCACGCTCTCACAGAATACCAGCGTCAAATAGTAGCTAATAATGCTGCTGTGTTTCGTATTGGTGAGTGTAGAGATCCGGAGACCCTTTTTACTGGAAACGAGGCATTCCATCTTAGTCCTCACGGGTGACAACGCATCTGCATTTTGATTCCTAATCGAGGATAGATGTAGACGTCTATGTGCCACAGCAACCACTTACCATCAGATGGACTGTGTGCTCGTTTGCCACCCTATCCTATAAAAAATGTGCATTTATAAATATGAAATATTTTGGAAAGGGCTTGGTAACGATCACCATTTTAAGAGAGGCTACTATTCAAAATTATCATCTACTAGTGATCGGCCCCGGCTTCGCACTGTGATTTCTGAATTTCGACAACAGTGCCACCTACCGGGTCCAATTGAGTTTCTAAATCATTCACTCAAATACATACAAAAAAATTCATCAAAATAGTTCGAGCTGTTTCCCATTTTTAGCTAGACCAACGGACAGCAATTGATTTTTATATATAAAAGAAGATAAAGAAGAATTAATTTCAAAGATTTATATTATTGAGAAACGACATGGGGAAACTGGAATAGGAGATAGGTAGAAACAAGCATCTTCAATTTTATAATGTAAGCAAAATAGTTTACTACTATCTATTGGAACATAAAAGATCTAAAGTAAAAAAAAATGTATCATCGATTTGTGAGAGTGCTACATATTTCGCTTGCTACATTTTCGCTCAAACACCAAGACAGCCATTCAGCGAGGAAGTATGTATAATATAAGGACACCGCGGGTAGTATGATAATTTAAATGTTTAGTTTTACGGGGTGGTTGGGTGATGACACTTTACACATTAAGTATGTAGTTTTTTTTGATGCATTGTAATTATAGTCCATTCGATTTTAATTCTTTATTGAAGTCCATAGCTAACGAGGATTAAGATGGAATGGCTCTGTGTCTCTGCGAGTGGGGGGGAAGTACAAAAAATAAAGGAGTGGTAGCTCGTGTCAGTTTCAATTTACGTGCTAGTATTAAGTGGCGACTGCAGTCTTAAAGAAAACTACAGATGCGCTAGATGGAATGTGAGCGAAGTACAGCGAGTCGGCGGGTGTCGTAGTTTATGCAGGCCTCCGTCACTCGCTCTAGGCCATGCGTTATGTGCCTAGCGCTCTGCATATCGTCCACGATACAACCGACATTGGGCTGCCGCGAGCACCGACATTGCACCGCGCACGTTTCCCGCGTCTACTCGTCGAAATGCCAAAACCATGTAATTATTGTGCAGTGTATGAGTGTAAAGGTAAAAAAACAAATAATATTGTCTTTTTTGCGTTGAATCATGTATTAAAGTGTTTATTATATAAGTGATGCAAAAACATTACTGCACTAGCTTCAATGCTTTGCTACAGGAGAACCCTAATGTTCACGAAACAACATCCAAATTTCAATAGAGAAGATGGATGGGTGCTACCAGCAGCTTGGGATCCTATAATTAACAAAATTAAACCCAAACCTAAGCATAACACTGCAAGACTTCATGATACTATAAGCTTGTTTTGCGTAAATCGGACCAAAAATTAATATTCAAAAACTGAAGGTGGACTAACTATGACATTGGGACGTCAAACATCTCAGTCCCTCCCGTGACCATGGGTGCTGTAAAGCACCCGAAACGTCGGGATAGTAAAAACAAATTAAAGTAATTAAACGCGATAAAATCCGTAAATGATTATTTATTAAAATTATTTACGCGATTTAGGAAACTTCAACGATAAAATTTAATAACCGAGAATTCAGAGAGGAAAAAAAGTATAAATCATTTAATAAAACTCAAACGTATTTGATTGACAAATAAAAAATATTGTTAGTATGTATGTATTTCGCAACATTTGTTTTATTACAATAATCATCATAGGTACAACTCTTGCGCATTCGTGCGATGACGTGCTTTCACGTGAGTCACACGGCGGGCAACACAATATCGACTCTTCGTACGCGTACCATAAGTACATTTTATTTTCGCTGCGAGCAGCGGATATTATTATTAAGATTTTGTAGGCTATTATAGCGTAGGTATTTTCGCTTTTGTATAGGAGTGATGTATCTGTTGGTAAACTATTTATTAATCTGTGGTTTATGGTGGCGTTTTTTTATAGAACAAGGGTGACTAACGAGCATACAGTTGATTTGATGGTAAGTGGATACTGTGCCGTATAGACATGTACATTTATCCTCGATTAAGAATCAAAATGTTGTGACCCCTGAGGATGAAGATGAATTGCCTTTTATCCAGTAAAACGGATCTCTGGTGCTTTACACTCACCATATGCAACACAGTAGCATTAAGCTTCAATTTTATGCTGGTATTATGTGAGTGTTGTGAGTGAGTGTTCCTTCTCCAGTGGAGCTGAGTTATGAAATGGCAGTTCAAAGTTGCTGTGTTTGATATGGTAAGTGTAGAGAACTGGAGATTCTTTTAATGGATATGGGGTATTTTAGGGTATCTTAGTTATTGGGGGTGATGTATTTGTATTTTGATTGTTGATTGACGATTGATTGTAGTTATTTATGTGTCACAGCATCCATTTAGCATTAGGTGGATTGTGTAGTCGTTTGTCACCCTTATCGTATAAAGAGCACGTGGTGTAATAGTGTGTGCTGAGTGCAGAGGGGAACCGCACCGCTGGCTGCTGGCGGCGCAGTTCTGCACGGAGCATAACTGTAGATGTTTAGCATGTGGTGTGGTGGCGCAGAGGTGGAACCGTACCGCGGGCTGCTGGCGGGCGGGCGCTGGCGCGCGCTGGTGGAGCAGTTCCGCGTGGAGCATGCGCGGCTGCTGCACCCGGCGCGCCTGCCCGCGCTGCCCGCTGCGCTACAGCTGGGCCTGGCGGCACTCAACACGCCGCAGTGCGCGCGCGCGGGGGCGGCGGCGGCGGGCTGCCCGGCTTGCGCGCCACCGCTAAGCGCGCTGGCGCGTACGCTGCCGCACGCGCACTGCTCGCACTCGCGCCTGGTGTGCCGCATCTCGAACGAGCCGCTCAACGAGCACAACCAGCCCATGGCGCTGCCCAACGGACAGGTCTACGGCGAGAAGGTACACGTGCACGCGCACACACACACACACACACACACACACACACACACACACACCCTCATGTGGCCTTATACACGCACTCATGTTCTCTAATACACGTACTCTAGTACTCTAGCACACGCACTTATGTACTCTAACACACGCACCTCTAACACACGCACTCATGTACTCTCACACACGCACTCATGTACTCTAACACACGCACTCAAGTACTCTAACACACGCACTCATGTACTCTAACACACGCACTCATGTACTCTAACACACTCACTCATGTACTCTAACACACGCACTCATGTACTCTGTATGACACACGCACTCATGTACTCTAACACACGCACTCATGTACTCTAACACACGCACTCAAGTGCTCTAAAACACGCACTCAAGTGCTCTAAAACACACTCAAGTGCTCTAACACACGCACTCAAGAGCTCTAACACACGCACTCATGTACTCTCACACACGCACTCATGTACTCTAACACGCGCACTCAAGTGCTCTAGCACACGCACTCAAGTGCTCTAACATACGCACTCAAGTGCTCAAACACACGTACTCATGTACTCTAACACACGCACTCATGTACTCTAACACACGCACTCATGTAGTCTAACACACGCACTCATGTACTCTAACACACGCACTCAAGTTCTCTAACACACGCACTCAAGTGCTCTAACACACGCACTCATGTACTCTATCACACGCACTCAAGTGCTCTAACACACGCACTCAAGTGCTCTAACACACGCACTCAAGTACTCTGACAAACCCACTCATGTACTTTCTAACACACACACAGATGTACTCTAACAAATGCACTAATACGCACGCACGAAACACTAACACTTGCGCACTAAATAAATCTCATACGTTGCACTAACGTTCTACAACATACGCATTGATGCATTCTAACGAACACGCCTCATAACACTGTAACAAACAAGATGCACTGACGCACACTAACACATTGCACTGACGCACTGACACACTGTAACATGCCCGTACTGACATAATTTTCTGTAAGCCTTCCTAAATAAATCTTAAAATTAAAAAATGGTGATAAGAATTGCTAACTGCAAGCCTCCACATAGGACTTTCAACGGACTTTATGCAAATTTAAATTACTCCGGGATTGCTTAAACTACTCACAATATATTTTTAAAAAAACCTAGTTTAACCTGCCGTGAGTCATACGATATAGCAAGGGTCGCTATCTAAATCTCGTTAAATCGGTCCGAGCATAGAATACACAATAGAATGGCTGTGAACTTTATTTTGTACGAGGTTTGGCGTCGCCAAACCCGATTCGTTGTGTTGACAGACTGAATAAATTTACACATTTTAGACTTTTGATTAATGTTCAAGGTCATCATTAAAAAAATTGTTTAAATCTTAATACATATTTATTTGTAAATAGGTTGCAATTTGGCATTTTAAATAATTTGCATGCGAATTTGGAAACCATTGTAACGTCAAAACACATCTCGTGTTGACATTTATACGTGTGAATTGACGTGTTAGTGACTTTTTAGAGTGACTACACGGGCTCCGCCCACTCCCCCGTTCTATTATGTATGTATTATAGTATTCTATGGGTCCGAGTCATTACATAAGTCCCATTTATTATATTAACCAAGAAGCAAACATCACTGACATTACATCTATATTCCAACGGCAAAAAATGATATCTCTTAAATCTCAACATAATTGGGTGAAATTTTTGAAGTCGAGGTAACTCAGAAATTTTCTCTGTATACTTCCGATACGAGATATAAAAAAAATTATATTGTGGGTTCCATGCGCACATATGAGAAACATAAAATATTATTTAGTTTTTAGTGAGCGGAAGCAGGCTAAAGTTCTTAAAATTAAACCATATTTTATTTAATACTCTTACAGTCCTTAACTAATGCCAATTTAATTTTGATTGCAGGCTTTAAAGGAAATGATGAAAGAACACGGATCAATCATATGCCCAAAGACAAAGGAGGTTTTTTGCATGAAACGTGTCGAAAAAGTCTACGTAATGTGAAACTATTTTGTATTACTGCCCATGTATATAAATATATGCCATGTTTTTTAACATTTAAATATCAACTATCGTGTCTTTGTAATTTGGTATATTTTTTTTTAGTAAGATATACCCGTGTCATAAAAGGATTGTCTAAATTCTTAAAATATCTTTCTAAATTTAAAGTTATGTCCTAGAATTATAAAAAATGAAAGTCCTTAGAGTATAAATAAGCTAGCTAGCTATAAATAAATTAAAAATGCTTAGTAAAAAACATAAATCGCAATAGAAATGATTATTCTTATATCAGATTAAAAGAACAAAGACAAAGACAAAGGTTTCACTGTACCTATGACATTCTTTATTGTTTTTTTTTTTATCGTTTGGGTTGATATTAGACTCTGTCGTCGACACGGAAGTTTTCTTTTAAATATTTTAACTATGTAAATCTATTCAAACATATGTGTAAGCAGAATCTCTAATAGCTTGTTCTTTTAATTTTATACGAAATATTGTCTACGTTGCTTATTAAAATATTATTAAAAAAACTTTTATATAAATATTATATATATATATATATATATATATATATATATATATATATATATATATATATATATAAAAGATATATGCAACACACAGTTCCAGAGATTACAAAAGCAAAGTTATTAGTGAATGTCTTGCAACATGAGCTTGTTTTTTTCTGAGCAAAGCTTCGGAATGGTAAAAATCAATCATCAATTACATACATGGGATTAACAAAAGCCATTTTTAGTCCATAATTACAACTAACTAGAGCTTTGTACTTAGAATTTTTAGTTTTACTAAAGTTTTTTTTTCTTTATAACTTTACCATTGCTCGGTTACCACATTCTATGTGTGGCCAAGCAATGGTAAAGTTTGTAGCCGGAGGTGTTAAATCACACTGGCTTAGCGAAACAAAAGCCTACTATTGACACTCCCTAAATAGATGTCTAGGTTTTTACCTGTTTTAATGGCTACTAATGAATAATTATTGAAAAAGATGAAAGAAGCACCGATGGTAATAAAAATATTAAGAAATATTGTCGAATTTTGGGCTTAAAGATACTATTGTCATCAATTCGGTACTTCTAATTCGAAAAAATTCATCAACGTATTGTAAAAAAAGTTGTTAACATATATATTTTATGTTGTAAAGCTTTTAATCGGATGCTGCAACGAATTTAAAAAAAAATTGGCTTAAAGGATAACCATCCAAGCCAAAAATCTTAATAAAAATTCTCGTCAGAGCGTAATGAATAAAAGTCGGGTGAAAATAATTTAATGGCCCTAACTTTGCGTTTGTAGTATCTGAACCATAGTCTTAATGGCTAATAATATCCATTCTGTACATTTTATTATAGAATATGTGTCCTATCTGTTTTATGTAAAATAGTGTTTCCTAACTTTTATGGTTTGCATATTTAAAGGAATGTATTATATAAAGAAATGGTCTCATTGTTAAATATCGTAAAGTTACTTTGGGAAATAAAGGCAAGTCGCAAAAATTTTGTTCATTTTTTTAATTATAATACCTACATACTTCGATCAATTATAGTACTATTATTGATCGAAGCCTACCTATTATGTTAGTGTCTTGATTATTGATGAACATACCCTTACAACAAAAAAGTTGATGTTAGTGTAAAAAGTAAATAAGTAAAGTTACAGCCTATATACGTCCCACTGCTAGGCACAGGCCTCCCCTCATTTCTGAGGGGGTTTTAGGGCAAGGAAGGGTCCGCCGCGCTGCTCCAATGCGTGTTGGCGAACTTCACATGTCTTCGAAATATTTTTTTTCTTATTCCTCAGACATGCAGGTTTCCTCACGATGTTTTCCTTCACCGCCGAGCACGTGGTATAAATCAGCACTTAAAATTGCAATTAACAATTTCATTGGTGCCGGCGGGGCTCGAACCCGGGTTACTCGCGTTCTGTTATATTTACAGCGAGCGTTAACCATCTGAGCTACCACGGCTCTTCGATGTTAGTGTGCTATTGGACAATCTATCGATTTTGTATTACCAATTCCACTACCAGTGAAAAGGGTTATTGACATGCGATTCAGCGATTCAAATGAGAATAGGACTGACATGGCGCCATATTTTGACGTCGTAGCTGAAATTCGAATACTAATCTTGGTCAATTTGGCTTTGTAAGTATTGAACATGTTTGTCTGCCACCTTACGCTCAGTGGAGTACGAGATATATTCAATTGTATTTAAATCACAAAAGCTGATAACCATGAAAATAGAAAAACTACTACTCCAATAGATTCGGTAATACTCAGTAAAATAAATAATAGGTATTTACCTATGAAATTGCCGTTCTGCAGTACTGGTCATTTCAAATCAAAATAATTTTTATTTTCAGAAAATACAATGAAGCATCAAAAGCTTGATGTTATCACTGAACATATATTGCCTGACACTAGCACAGGTCACCTCAAAGATGATTAATTGCTACACCAGCAAGTAAATAAAACAGAAAAAGAAGAGGAGGGGAATGTCTCAATGATGGGCTATAAAATTAAATTGAAGATGTGTAAACCGAACAGAAAGCCCTTTCTTTCTGTTCGGTTGACGCATCTCAAGTTAAGTCACTATCAACATTACCTGCAAATCAAAAAGGATTTACAAAATCAAGCCTACCAAGGAAAAGTTGTGCTTTTAATATTCCATTAAGATAACACACCTAACAGATGAAAAAAAACGCTGATGCAGTTAGCATTAGAACTACCATGTGAAATGTAGAAAAAAGTGTATGACAAAGTTTGAACTAAAGTACTAAGTAATGAAAAAAATTCGAAAATATATCCACGATCGGTAGGTAAATTTAAGTTGGGAGTCAAGAGGCTTGTTTATAAAAGGCATGGTTGAACCATATACCGTAAAAACCCGAACAAATACGAACAGTATAACCGCCAAAGAAAGAAATGTTTTTTATGAAAATGTGAAGTTTGTCAGGTTATCTTTCTGAAAACACTCGGATATAAGCCAAAGTAAGGAAGTTAATGATCAAAGAAAAAACGAGGAAGCTATGAACGTAAAAATTCATTAGACTAAATCAGAACTAAAGAACATATTCAAAGTTTCAATCCAACAATATTATATTATCGCCGCGAAAATGCACCTAATAAGTTGTATTTACCTAGTTGCTTAAATATTACGATGATACATTAAACTTAGACATGTCAAACATATATTAAACTCAGACTCCAATATTTTTTATGTTGAGATTTAAGTTACTTAAGACTGACTTTTTACTTAAGATTGATTTAAAGACTACTCTTATAACCTGCTTTAATAGATTAAGTATAACATTTTTTTGTATCTTAGGATAAAGATAGCTAAAAAAATTTAATTTTTTTAAGTTATTTGCTATTAATATATGCAATTGCAAAGTTCCTTAAGTTGTAATTACATAATTTTTGTGAACGAAACACTTAGTGGTCGAAAGGGGTTTCATTTTTATTTTTCTGGGGTAGAGTGATATTTTTGTAACTTGCACTCTTCGTAAGAAGGCAGATAAGTAGATATATAATTTATACATTGATATAGTTATAGTAAAGAAAAAAAAACGGTATGGAAAGCCTCTTCTTGGACCAGCAAGACCAAACTCTGAACACCATAGGATGTGGAATGAAGCAAAAGCTATATCAAATAATATGAAATTTATAAATAAAACGTCAAATAGTGCTGAAAGTGCACCAAAAATCAAAAATTGGGTATGGACGCTGAATGGTATACAAATTCTTTTTAAAAAATTGGAAACTAAGTATGGTATTACTTCTGTTTGGATGCGGCACCTCAACAAAAACCCTATTGAAAACTTTTTTGGGCCATTAGAAGCCATGGGTTCCGCAATGTTAATCCAACACCAGAACAATTTCAGAGTGCCTGTACTACACTTAATTAACAATATGTGCAGTGTACATACCCCATGAAACTTGTAAGGCTTTAGGGTCTCTTATCGTCTGCTACAATCTGTGACCTTGAAAAAATCCCAGATGTAGAAATAATAAATATTGAAGAGAAAACTGCTCCATATATGAAGGGGGCATTGGATTATGTTAGTGGATACTTTGCCAAATGTGCTAAAAAATGTTTTTAAAAACTGTAGCGAATGTACTGCTAACATAATCGGCTTACAAGAAATTAAAATCATTAAATTTCGGAAATATGCAAGTAAACGGTGGCTTTGCAGTCCCACTGAGTCTCTTATAGTATAAGTATCTGCAGTGCAAGACATAGCAAATTCAGTATTAAAAAATAATATAAATAAAGACAATATTAAAGAATTAATAAAAACCTTGATATAAATTTATGTTGATTTTGAATTTCTGCAACGTAATTTACACAAAAATAAAATAATTGATTATTTATTAAATTTGTCTTGCCGCTTTTTCATATTCAATTATGTAAAAAATATAAATAAAATACTCAGTGGGAAAAGAGACTGTGATGATAATGACGATATATTTCAAATGAAACCCAAAAAATATTTCCACAAGTGTAAAAAAAGACGTTGTTTTTTTATAGGTACTGTATATACTTTAATTTAGCCGTGTAGCGGCGGTTGAGAATATCCACTACCCCATATCTTCCCGTGGGTGTCGTAAGAGGTGACAGAGGAAGACAGGCAGGAGATGGGCAGCAGCATCTTCCTAATAATAACGCTAATATAATAAAAAACTACGGTTGCCAACCCGCTTGCCAAGCGTGGCAACTATGGCAAATACCCCCGCCCCATGAATAACGACGCAAACAAACGGCCCCCAGTCCCCGGTGGCCCCGCTATTCCTGGCTACGATAGCGACCATGGTAACGGCAGGGAAGGGGGTGCTAAGAATCTCCGTTGGAGGTTCGGTTGCCACCTACGACGACTCGACCTGGCAACATTTAACGCACGCACCCTGAGGACTGACGAGAAGATACTGGATCTGGAAGAAGAGGTAGACAAGTTGCGCTGGCATATTATTGGATTATCAGAGGTCCGAA